TCAACACTGTCGCTCACTCTCCCTTCCGACTTGCCTCACTCTGAGCTGGCTTTGCTTCAGACCCCCTCTTCTGGGAAGATTCTCCATCCACCCCCTGGGCCCTCCTCTGGACTCCATCTCTGTTTCAGATGCCATCAGATGATGTTGGTGTTTGTGTTGCTAACTGCAGCAACAATCCATTAATAATTCATGGTTTCTTGTTATTAGTGTGGCTAAATGGGAACTCTTCAGAGAACACACCCGGAGACTTTCTCCATCCTCTGCTTAATTAGAGCGCTTAGTGAGGGGCCAAAGACAGTTAAAAGAGACTTGGTAGGAGCCCTCTGAGGACGTTCTCTCCAAAGATCTTTGGGGGTCATCAGGGTCCTGGCCTTTGGGTCAAACACCAGCTTAAATAATGGCCTTGTCCCCCTGCATCAGACACATTCTTCTCTCTCCTCCCCAGCATAAACTGTCAAAACCCGGAGATACCCATCAGATTCCTCCAAAAGAAGAGGAGGAAAGCTCTCCCGAGGGCTGTCTGGGAGACATGCAATTTCCACCTTTTCTAAGAGCCTGTCATTCGTATTCTTTATAGGCCTTGTCCGTCCTCCTCGTTTTCCAAAAAAAGCAATCAATCTTTGTATAACAACATTCTAGCCAGCGCCATAGGTTGTGGTGTGTGTCACACAGAGTCGACATTGTCTTTTCAAGGGCTGACCTTTCTTAGATCAGCCATTTTAGAGGAAAATAATTCTAAGGTGGATTTTACACTCTTCTGCCTTCTAAAACAGCGCATGTAGAAGAGATTTAAGCCCCTTTCTTCATGGCCAATTGGACTTCTCAACCCTAGTTCTTAGATGCTAAAGGCCTACTCTGCCATATTGAACTGTTTGGACCTTCTGCTAAATGGTTACAACCTGTTTTGCTGCTGCTGCTGCTGCTGCTTTTTTTTTTTTTTTTTTTTTTTTGAGATGGAGTCTTGCCCTGTCACCCAGGTTGGAGTGCAGTGGCGTGATCTTAGCTCACTGCAACCTCTGCCTCCCAGGTTCAAGCAATTTTCCTGTCTCAGTCTCCCAAGTAGTTGGAATTACAGGCACCCACCACCATGCCCAGCTAATTTTTGTATTTTTAGTAGAGACAGCATTTCACCATGTTGGCCAGGCTGGTCTTGAACTCCTGACCTCAGGTGATCTTCCTGTCTTGGCCTCGCAAAGTGCTGAGATTACAGGTGTGAGCCACCGTGCCCAGAGTTATTAGGTCTCCTTCCTCCTGCCAGACTGTCAGCAGTAGCTTGTACTGCTTCCGGCCAACAGCCTCTAGCAACCCTTTCCCTCCTCTTCACTGGTTCTGCTCCAGGAAGGGCCTGGAAACAAGTTCTTTGGGTTCATCTGACTCGTGGATAAGTAGTTCTGTGTACTTTTGTGGTTCATAAATGTGATTGGGTTTTCGCGCTCATGTGTGACATGCCCCTTTCTCCAACCTTGTTACAATGTTGGTGCATTACCCATTACCCATCTGACATGGAGGAAGAAAGGTCTTCACGACAGTGTTATCTACAGTCACAAACAGTGTGCATAGGGGCCAAGGGAAAGTTTCCCCTTTGCCTTTTGAAGGTTCACTGAAAAATCAACTGACCAGAGGCAGATCAATAGGAGAAAGGGCATACAAAATTTTATTTTAGTGTTCACGGCATAGGAGAATCACAAGAGAATGACTACCCAGTAACCCAATGGGGCACAGAAGCTTGTATACCCTTTTTTCTCTTTCTTTTCCCTCTCTCCCTCCCTCCTTCCCTTTCTCCCTCCCTTCCTTCCTTCATTCCCTCCTTCCTTCCTTCCTTCTTTCCTTCGAGTTTCACTCTTGTCACCCAGACTGGAGTGCAATGGCACGATCTGAGCTCACTGCAACCTCCGCCTCCAGGGTTCAAGCAATTCTCCTGCCTCAGCCTCCTGAATAGCTGGGATTACAGGCATGTGCCACCATCCCAGCCAATTTTTGTATTATTAGTAGAGACGGGGTTTCACCATGTCGGCCAGGCTGATCTTGAACTCCTGACCTCAGGCGATCCACCCACCTCGGCCTGCCAAAGTGCTGGGATTACAGGCGTGAGCCACCGTGCCTGACCTGTACACTTTTCTTCATACAGGAGGGAGGAGATGTATGGACTGGGGAGGTGGGAGGCAGACATCACAGGAAGGTGAGGAGCAGAGCAGCATGGGAACAAAGGTTGTCTTATTAAGCAGATAGAGTCCCTCAGGTAGTCTCTCGGAGCTGCCCTCAGAAGAATAGATGAAGTCCATCTGGGTGTGGTGATGATTCCCAGTCTCATCTCTTCTGGTGGTTTGTCTTTCTTGGTAATTTGATGAGAACTCTAGGGAGGGTGTTTAAGACAACTGTGTTTCTTTTGGAAAGACGCTTTCTCCATCAGATGAGGAAATTTCAGAGACAGAGAGAGAGCCCCTCGTGTGCTTGGTGGTGGGGGTGTGGGGAACAAGAAGTTAGAGGGACCTTGTTTCAGAGGCAGCTTTCGAAGGCTCTCAGCATGTCAAAACATCAGGCTTTGGGGTATCACTTTCTAAGCCCCAACCCTTGTAAGCATCTAAAATGTCCATCAGGAGAATGCAGGATGAATACACATTTGGTGTGTGCACACAATACAACGCTGCGCAGCCCTTAAGCGAATGAGGTGGACCTATGTGCAGTAAAAGGGAATACTCCCCAATTGTTAATTGAAAAATACAGCCTACAGAACAGTGTTAATAGCGTGTTCCCGTTTTTTTTTTTTTTTTTAAAGAGTGGGTAGGGACCCACTTTATTTGAGCAGGGACCCAAATAAAGTGAAGTTCACAAACTTGGTCATTTTGACTGCTCAGCAGAAGCCTTTTTCCCTCCTTCCTGAAGCTCAGATGCGTTCTGAAATACTTGCACTTGCCGTGTAAGTAACTTCTAGAAACTTCTGGTACCATTATTTTTCATTCAGCATTTTCTCGAGGTAGAGAAAGGCCATGGGAACCACACAGGGAGGAAGCACAGAGTCTCACTGGAAGCATCTCTAGAAAAATCACAGAGGCTATTCAGGAATCACACAGGAACCATGGGAAAGCCAAAGGACCCATATTTCCATGAAACAGGCTTGTCAATATACTAACTGGATCTGAGGTCGGTTCAGGAGAGCCTGGGCTTTATCATCAGATGGGCCTGGGTTTAGATTGCAGCTCCGCCATTTTCCATCTGTATTTCCTTAGGTGAATTATCCATTCTGAGCTTGGATTTCCTCATCTGTAAGACAAGGACAATAAAACCTACTTCACTGGGTTTTGGAAGATTATGAGATCATAAATGTGAAGTGTCTGGTATAAAGCCTGGCTTATGGTAGATGCTCAACAAATGGTAGCTGCTCTTGACATTGTTTTATTATTTAATATCATCTAGGCCAGGCGTGGGATTCACACCTTTCATCCCAGCACTTTGGGAGGCTGAGGTGGGATGAACACTTGAGTCCAGGAGCTCGAGACCAGCCTGGGCGATATAGTGAGACCCCCCCATCTCTATAAATAAATAAATAAATAACAAATAACCTGGGCGTGGTGGTGTGCTCCCGTAGTCCCAGCTACTTGGGAGGCTGAAGTGGGAGGATCATTTGCTCCTAGGAGGTCAAGGCTGCAGTAAGCTGCGATTATGCCACTGTACTCCAGCTTGAGTGACATAGTGAGACCTTGTCTCAAAAAGAAAAAAAAAAACTATGCTTTGCACTTTTAGGCAATTTCTGAGCTAGTAGAATTTGACTGGGAAGAAGCAGAAAAATGAGCCTCTTGCCTTTAATATGTCTTTGGCAAGGGGAAGTTCCAAGGGCTGTGCCCCCATGTCTGTATCCATTATCTCTTGCAATGTTAAAATAAAAAAATCCTAAAACTTAGCAGCTTAAAACAATCAACACCCATTTTCTTGCAGTTTCTGTAGGGCAGGAATTCAGTGGTTTAGCTAGATGGCTCTGGTTCAGGATCCTTCATGAGGCTGCAGTCAAGATGTCTTCCAGGGCCACAGTCAACCTAAGGCTTGTGTATTAGTCCGTTTTCACACTGCTGATAAAGGCATACCTGAAACTGGGTAATTTATAAAGAAAAAGAGGTTTAATGAACTCATAGTTCCATGTGGCTGGTGAGACCTCACAATCATTGCAGAAGGCGAAAGGCACATCTTACATGGCAGCAGGCAAAGAGCAAATGAGAACCAAGCAAAATGGGATTCCTCTTATAAAACCATCAGATCTCAGTGGACTTATTCATTACCAAGAGAACAGTATGGAGGCAACCATGCCCATGATTCAATTATATCCCACCGGGTCCCTCCCACAACACATGGGAATTATGGGAGCTACAATTCAAGGTGAGATTTGGGTGGAGACACAGCCAAACCATGTCAGCTTGCATTTTTCATTCACTACTTCAGTTCCTCACTACCATGAACCTCTGTAGAGGCCTGCTTGAATGTCCTTACACCACGACAGCTGGCTTATCCAGAGTGAGTAATCCAACAGACAGCAAGGCAGAAGCCACAGTGTCTTTTATAACCTGGCTTTGAAAATCACACGGCTTCATTTCTGCAGCATCCTGTCAGTTACACTGGTGACGTCAGCCCTATTTAATGTAAGAGGGAGCTGCACAAAGACTTGACTTCTAGGATCCAAGTATCATTGGGGCTGTCTTGGAGGCTGCCTACTGTACTCTCTCTCTCTAGAGATTGGTTTTGAGAGGCCTACAAGACTGACACAGTAAGTTAGTAACAAGGTGGGCGTGGGGGTTTCAGATCTCTTGGCTTGAGACCAGTGCACAACTTAGGCCAATGTGGGATGCCCTGAGACACAGGGATCAGGCTGATGATTTTGTCATAGGACTGATGACTTGAGGAGCAAACTCTGGTTTCCTAAAGGAATCCCAGGCAGGCAGAGCTCTTGCCCCCTTCCCATCTAACCCGGGAGGGAACTGGGCTTCAAGAGTGTTTTGTCCTCTGACTTACAGATCCAGCTAGTGGGAGCAGCATCGACTGGGCTTATGATAACGGCATCAAATTTGCATTCACATTGGAGTTGCGAGATACCGGGACCTATGGCTTCCTCCTGCCAGCAAACCAGATCATCCCCACAGCAGAGGAGACCTGGCTGGGTCTGAAGACCATCATGGAGCATGTGCGGGACAACCTCTACTAGGCGACGCCCCGCTCTATTTACATTTATTTGTACCCACATGTGCCCACACTGAGGCCATTCATTTAAAGGAGCTCGTTCCTTCCCGTGTGAATCAGAGCCCTCTGGGTCTGTAGAGCACACAGGCCTGCCCCTCTCCAGCCAGCTCCCTGGAGTCGCGTGTCCTGGTGGTGTCCCTGCCCGGAGCGGTTCTGCCAGCCCGCTCAATTTTGGTCCCGCTGTCTTTGATGAGCCTTTTGTCTGTCTCTCCTTCCGCACTGCTGGCTGGGCAGCTGCACTCAGGATAACCCCTTCCTGGGCGGCATGTCTCTCTCTACCTCATTTTTAGAACCAAAGAACATCTGAGGTGATTCTCTAGCCTCACCCACATCTAGCCAAGCCAGTGACCTTGCTCTGGTGGCGCCGTAGAAGATGCCGCTTGTGTTTGGGTGGGTCTCAAAGATGACGCAGGATTACCTTTAATTCCTCTCAGTCTTCCTGGAAAATATTTTTCTTTAAGCAGCGAATCTTGTAGGGCTATGAGTGTAGGTCTCTCCCTCCCTCCCCTCCTTTTTTAGGTCTGAATACAACGTAGAAGACCACTTTCCATCACTGCGCTGAGAATTTCTAGATAATACAGTTCTTACCCCTCTCTTCCCTTTGTTATTTAGCGTGACCAGGGTGGTAGGAGGGGAGCTGTGTCACCGTAGGTGCTACTCACCCAGGAAGACTGGGTGAAGTGACAATCTAAATTGCAGGATGGCGAAATCATCCCCATCTGTCCTTAATGGGCTCATATCCACTTTGCCTTTTGAACTCACTTCAAAGATCTAGGCCGCATCTTACAGGTCCTAAATCACTCCTGTGGCCTGGATAATCTCACTGCCTGGCACAGTCCCGTTTGGGCTCTGGGGTATCCTGTGTTTCCTTGTCCTGTGTGTGTGTGTGTGTGTGTGTGTGTGTGTGTCTATTTTGTATCCCGGACCACAAGCACCTAAGTAAAACAAGAATTCATCAAGCAGATGCCTCGTGTTTAATTTCACCTCAGCACGTACCATCTGTCCTTTTGTTGTTATTGTTTTGTTTTTGTTTTTTTGCTTTTTTCAAACATGTCTGTAAATCTCATCCTCCTGTCTAGGATTTGTATAGCATCTGGTGTGCGCTTATAAGCCAATAAATATTCAATGTGAGTTTCACGATCATCTCCTATTCTTCGTCTTCACCTGAATAGAGGCAAGCCATGGTTTTGAATATGCAACTCTTTATAATGTCAGAAGTCGATTTTAATCCCTGTCTGTGTCGCATGACACGTAAGAAGTCCTCCTTCATCAGGCTGAGGGGCCTCCAGGGCATCGTTACCTTGGTGATTTCACTCTGGTCCTGGATCTGGTTCTTAGCTTTTCAGCTCAAAAGCTTGATAGTCTCAGTGTCCGTGTTGATTAAACTAGGGGATGCTGACTCACGCCTACAGAGCTCAGATGAAGCAGATGATAAAATCAGAATGCGAATTTATTAATTTACATCGTGGCATGTAACTGTTGAGTGGATTGGATCCTCACGTCGGCCTGAACAGAACATTTTCTCCCCGTAGGCAAGATACATGGGAAGCCAAATTATAATCAGAAGGTTGCTTAGTGAGCGGGCGTCAGAGCAAGGAAAGTTAATTAAAGTCTATGATTAGAATGTTTAATAGCACCCAGCTCTAATAGCATGATATATCCAGTTCTATAGCCAGAGCACACCTGCTAGCCAGCCAGCTGATCAGGGCTGGCTGATCAGGGCTGCCTCAGACAGGGACGTGCCTTGGTGAGCATAGCCAAGCTTGCCTCTGTGACTGGCCTGTAACCTGGCCCTAATTGTGATCACTCCCCTCAGATGGAGATTGTCCTTCAGATTCTTTAAGGGAAAGGTTTATTTAAAAATTTTATTATTATTTCTTTCTATAGAAAGATAGACCCTTACTGTGTTGCCCAGGCTGGTCTTGAACTCCTGGCCTCAAGCAATCCTCCTACCTTGACTTCCCAAAGTGCTGGGATTACAGGTGTGATCCACCATACCTGGCCAAGGGGAAGATTGCTTAAACAAGACATAAATGCCAGATACTATAATGAAATTAAGAACTTTTCTTCATTAAAAGATACCATAGAAAGGGAGAAATGTTAAAGGCCAGGGAGGATATTCACCATATTCCTAATACACGCAACAGACAAAAAATGTATGAAGAACTTCAACAAATCCATAAAGAAAGCACAAATAACCCAACAGAAAAATGGGGCAAAGGTACGTCCAAGCATTCCACATAAGAGGAAGCACAGGCTGTGTGCGGTGGCTCATGCTTGTAATCCCAACACTCTGGGAGGCTGAGGTGGGAAGATTGCTTGAGCCCAGGAGTGAGAGACCAACCTGGGCAACAAAGTGAAACCCTTGTTTGAAAGAAAATAAAAACAAAATAAAAATAAAAAATTAGTTGAGTGTGGTGGCAAGCGCCTACAGTCTCAGCTACTCAGGGAGCTGAGGAGGAAGGATCACTTGAGCCCAGAAGTCTGAGATCAGCTTCAGCAACATAGTAAGACCCCGCCCCCAATGTCTCTACAAGAAAACGAAAAAGATTATCCAGGTGTGGTGGTGTGCACCTGTAGTCCCAGCTACTTGGGAGGCTGAGGTGGGAGGACTGCTTGAGCCCAGGAGTCTGAGGCTGAAGTGAGTTATGATCACACCACTGGACTTTAGCTTTGGTGACAGAGCAAGACCCTGTCTTCAAAAAAAAAAGAAGAAGCAGACATATCTGCTCAACATGTGAAAGGACATGCAAATCAAGACTGCAAAGAGATGCCATTTTTATTTATTTAATTTATTTTTTTGAGATGGAGTCTCACCCTGTTGCCCAGGCTGGAGTGCAATGGTGCAATCTTGGCTCACTGCAACCTCCATCTCCCGGGTTCAAGCCATTCTCCTGCCTCAGCCTCCCAAACATCTGGGACTGTAGTCATGTACCACCACACCCAGCTAATTTTTGTGTTTTTAATAGACACGGGGTTTTTCTTTTGGCTATTTTGGCCAGGCTGGTCTTGAACTCCTGAGCTGAAGTGATTCGTCCGCCTCAGCTTCCCAAAGTGCTGGGATTACAGGCTTGAGCCATCCCGCCCAGCCTGAGATGCCATTTTAAACTCATTCAGTTTACAAAAATCAAAAGTTGGAGACCATGTGGATGGCAGGGGCTCATTCCTTATTGGTGGGCAGCTGAATTAGTAAAACAACTTCACAAAACAGTTTGGCATTATTCTCAAGTTTACACCTTATGAACCAGCTATTCTGCCCTAGGCATGGCCTCAAGAAATTCTTGCAATTGTGCAACAGGAGACATACACAAGAATGTTCGTAGCAACACTGTTCACACTAGTAAAACCTTAAAAATAACTCAGAAGACCATCAGTGGGAGAATGGGTGAAAAAGTTGTGGTACATTCACATACCGAGATATTATACAACAGTCCAAACAAAATTTGGTATGATTTCCTTTCTGGAAAGATCCAAACAACTGAAAAAAAAAATGTATACTTTTAAAGAAGACATACAAATTTTGATGAAACTTTATAAAAAGAGATGCAAGCCACAGTGGACATGCCCAGACCCCTCTTCCTGGTTGAGTGTACAGATCCTCAGTGGTTGTTAAGCACTGGCTGTCAATGTTCACGGCTGCATCCCTCTCTAGAGAATTGCCCTTGGCCAAATAGGGGTTGCCTCATCCAGGAGGCTACGCACTTGCTTTTTCTTGTACCATCATCTCAAATGTCTACCCATGGCAGACTCGCTCAGGAGTACACACAGCTAGCTCTTTGCCTCAAGGTGGGATCAACACTTTGGTGCAACGAATGTTCCAGAGCTCCCTTGGGGTGGGGCTAGAGCTCCAGATGATTTCAGGCAAATCATCCTTGCTTATCGTTATTTTCTGCCCCGCCTGTTTCCCTCACTCTCCTCCTGAGACGATTCCACTTCATATCACTTGCATAAGACTCTCCATCGTGGGTTCTGCTTCTAGAGAGATTGACTAAGACAACAGGAAAGGAACCTGGGATTCCAGAATGATGATTCCTTCAAATGGGGAAGGGCAGAGGATGACAGAGGGACAGAGCCCTATGGTTAGAGGACGAACCTTAGCTTTTGCTTTAAATTCTGTTTTTTCAGGTGTTTATTATGTGATTTTATTTTTTTTAAGTAGAGATGAGGGTCTCCCTATGTAGTTTAGGCTGGTCTTGAACTCTTGGCCTCAAGTAATTCTCTTGCCTTGGCCTCCCAAAGTACTGGGATTACAGGTGTGAGCCACTGCACTAAGCCTATTATATGATTTTTTGAAAAAAACCTAATTAAGTAGCTAAATAAATAATTAAAAGGGGACCATGCATAGATCAATGATAAGTGTACCACTAACCACGGATTGTAATTATTTCTGTGGACTTGAAAGCCAATTTAAAAAATGTGTATAAAGATACAAATTTCAAACAAAAATTGTACTATTCAACATGCATTTATTGAGTACCTACTATGTACCAGAGACAGTTTCTTTTTCTTCTCTTTTTTTGGAGGCAGGTTCTGGCTCTGTCCCAAGACTGGAGTTCAGTAGGGGCAATCATAGCTCACTGCAGCTTCGAACTCCTGGGCGCAAGCGATCCTCCCACCTCAGCCTCCCAAAATGCTGGGATGACAGGCACGAGCCCCCATGCCTGGCTCCTGAGACAGTTTTAGATAGTTGCTTGCAACGGCAAACAAAAAGACAAAATCTGTTATTGCATGAAATTTCATTGTAGTTGGAAAGACAGGAAGTACTCAAGTAAACAACTAAATTAAGACATTAATTTAGGTAAGGAGAGCTGCTATAAATAAAAGAAAACAGACTGCTGTCAGGAGAGTGATGGGTGTTAGGGGAGCCTGTCTAGATTTGGAAAGCTAGGGAAGGTAGTATTATAAACTATTCTTTTTTGTTGTTGTTGTTGAGACAGAGTCTCCCTCTGTCACCCAGGCTGGAGTGCAGTGACACAACCACAGCTCACTGCAGCCTTCACCTCCTAGGCTCAAGCAATTCTCCTACTTCAGCCTCCAGAGTTGCTAGGCAATTTTTTTAAAACAAATCTTTTGTAGTGATGGGGTCTTTTTGTGTTGCCCAGGCTGGTCTCAAACTCCTGGGCTCAAGGGATCCTCCTGCCTTGGCCTCCCAAAGTGCTGGGATTACACGCATAAGCCGCCATGCCTGACAACGACTTACATTTCTAAAACACATTTAAGTTTGAAAAGCTGT